AACACTCAGAGGTTAAGATTACATATTAAATAAAACATAGACAATGTCTAACACAGCATGGAAAGATTTTATCCATTTGTATTAACTGTTTTCTCAACAGATTTCTATTGGGTACCATAGCGTGGAAAATAGGCATTAACTTGGTTAGTTCTTTACTAGCTTTATTTATCCCTGGGGATTTTACATGGAGCCTCCCTGTATTATTTTTTAATCCTTGATGAACTTATGGGTTCTGGCTTAAGTTGCTTGATCCTGCACTGAGCTAAGGAGGTGGAGGGTCCTCTTGTCCCTGTTGCACCTGTTCATTCCCCAAGTAAGAAAGGTCCTTGGTCTGATGCCTGGATGTGGCCATATCTGTCTCTTCTCCATTGACCATACGTGGCTGCTGGGGGGGCCCTGGTGGGAAAAACTGCCTCCACCCCTAGTATAGCCTGTCTCAGGAGAGAAGTGTACCTTCTTCAATTTTGGGGGATCCCTAACCAGCAGTGGGACAGTTTTTATCCTTTGTATGCCTTTTGTGAACTGTTCCTCGGGTTTTAAAGCTTTCTAGAAATTCCTTAATGTAGAATTTGTTATTTTTGTCAATATTTTCTTCAGGAACTTGGGATAGACATAAATTTTGTCACATTTGTTTTCGTGTAACCCAAACGGACCTCTTTTTCTGCCTTGTCTTTTTTTTATATCTCTTGTAGTTTGCTCTATTATTTTACAGATATGTTTTACACACTGGTTTGAGTCACTTAAATCTGCGAAAGCCTCCCTTACTTTTAAAAGATCCTGTCCAATTAAGGGACTTAGTAAAACCACTAAAGCTCCATACCTTGTTGAATTAAGGTCCTTGTTGAATTAAGCTTTTTAAAAAAATCTTTGGTGAACACAGTCCTATCTAGCTCAGTGAACTGGTCATCATAAATTGGCTTCCTTATGACTAGTTCTCTCAGTAATGCCTCTCCTATGGTCCTCTAGCCCCTGCTAATGATGGGAGTCTCCATTGGTGATGACCATGTATCTTTAATGCCTTGCACAAGCCATTCCATTAGGGACTGCTCTCTCTTGTATTGGCCTAGGTTAAACAGCCTATGTCTCAAGGACTGGTGGGTGGTAATATAACTCAGCTGTGATGTTTCTAAAGGACTTAAACTAGTATCACTTTTTCCCATGTCCCACATCCTCATGAACCACATGGTGAGGGGCTCTTTTATTGCTTGTTTGAAAGTCTTCCCTAGTCCCACTAGCTGCAGTATGGAGTATTTTCTGCTGGCTACAGTGTTGTTAAGGCTTTTATCAGCACTTTGAAATATGACTTCTTTTCTCTTTCTGTATTAAAGGTAAAATCTGAGGGGCATCTTTAGCTATTTTTATTTCTAGGTCATTTTTCTATCTTTTTTTTCCCCATGGGTCCTTTGACTACTGATCCCAGGATGAGCCTTGTATTACAGATCTAATCTGGACTCTCTTTTCTCTATGGTGTCCTAGCCTTAAGCAAGTTAGAATTTCCCTTTGTCTATCTTTCCCATGTGGTTTATTTGTAAATTCTGAAGCCAATACTGAATACACCAGTAACTGCCTCTTAGTCTTTTCAGCCTCCCATGGGGCTATTGTCTCTGCTTGGACAAGTCTTTTATTATGCAAAAGCAGGTGCCAAGTGGCTTCAGCAGTGGCTTTTTTTCCCTTTTGATTCCCATGTTGCTTCCAAAGCTTGTAGCATTTTTTCTAGAGTTTCCATGATCCTTAAAGAATTTTCATACACACATGATGGTGATCACCATTGCTCAAGCAACTGTGCTATTTTATGCCATTTGCAGGATGGCAGCCACCTGGGGATTTCCCCCATTGAATTTGTCTGTGTCTGCATAGGCAGCCTCATTTAAATTACATATTTTATTATCCAATGCATAATCTGTGTGGCTGCTGCTAACCCATTAAGCTTATGGGGAGTGCACACACTCTCCCCTCCCTCAACTTCTCTTCAGCCTTCTTCTATATCAGAGACATCATCTTTCCAACCTCCTGCGGTTTATCGTATCCAGACATACTACACCAATTTTTAATGCCAAATTCTCTCCTTGGAGGTCTGAGCATGCTCTCTAGCCCTCTGTGAGGCATGCTGCATCCTTTTCGGCTCCCAGGCCCCATACTGTCTTTACGACCAACCAACAAAACTGACATAGTGTCCCTCTAAGTTGCAGTTTGGGGAAGAAGGATATTTATTTGGGCTTGCCAACAAAGCTTATGCTATTTGGACAGGCATCACCTTACAAAGGCATGAACACCCATGGGCTCTTTCCCCTTCATCACTGCTGAACATGTTTTGAGATCCACTGCACCAGCACCCTGCCAATATGGTGACTTCCCGTTGCCTTCTGGCTTCCTCTGTGCTTGTCCTTAGACCTGCCTTCTCATGCAGTTGAAGCTGACCGATTGGGTGGAAAGGGTGACTATCTCCCTCTGTCTATGGAATCTCATAGGTTTCACACTAGTTCCTTCAGATGACATGCCTATCCAACAATGTGCAAGAGTAAAACAAGATAAAATAAATAAGACAAATAAAAAGTAGAAGAGTTCAATGTATTTCACTATGAATTACATTACATAAATTGCATTGATGATAATTATTATGATCCAATTGTGGACATGTAAATAGTAATGTTACAGAATTAACTGACACCAAGAAAAACATTTATAAAAAGGGATACAATTTGAAATCAACATTTGAAAGTGATTTGATTATACTGACAAATGCATTTATGTTTAGAGTATGCAAATGTAGGAAATCATATCAGAATGAATTTTCATTCATGTAATACATTGTCCATACTTGAAATTTCAGAGCTTGTAGCACCATTATTGCTGTGTCCACAATTGGATCATAAAATGGTTATAGATTTGGTTTACAGAAAAGCAATTACTGCGTATTGCTAATAAAACATAGACACTCCATTTATTTAACAAATGTCTTCTGAGCTGGATGTGGTGGTGCAGGCCTTTGATCCCAGTGCTCCAGAGGCAGAGGCAGGCAGATCTCTGTGAGTTCCAGGTCAGTGAGTTCCAGGCCAGATGGGGCTACTGGGAGACCCTGTCTCAAAAACACCAAAAATAAAAGTCTTCTGTATAATTCTTCCCTGCTATTAACAATAAGGCAAAACTAATTTATCTCCATGGAAACTGTCAGGAAACAGTAACTTTCTTATAGCTGTTTTCATGGCCTCATTCCTCAGACTGTAGATAACAGGGTTGAGTGTTGGGGGAAGTACTGTGTAAAACAGAGAGAGTATGAGGTCAAAGGCAGTTGGAGAGTCTGAAGTTGGCTTCAGATATGCAAAGGTTCCTGTGAAGAAAAAGCATGATACAACCAAGAGGTGGGGCAGGCAGGTAGAGAAGACCTTAGACCGACCTTCAGCAGAGGGTATCCTGAGGACTGTGGAGAATATCTGGACATAGGAGAGGGTGATGGCAATGAAGCAGACAAATGACATAGCAGCAATGAAGGCAACCACTCCAATTACTCCCAGGTAGTCACTAGAGCAGGAGAGCTTGAGCAACTGGGGGGTATCACAGAAGAACTGGTAGATTTTATTTGCTCTGCAGAATCTGATCGAGAATGTGGTAGCTGTGTACAAAGTTCCTGGAATGCCTCCACTTAGCCATGCAGCTGACACAGCCCACCTGCATGTTCTGAGACTCATGATGACCTCATAGTGCAGTGGGAGGCAGATGGCTACATAGCGGTCATAGGACATCACTGTGAGAATAGTGAACTCAGCCCAGCCCGAGGATATGAAGAAGAAAACTTGCAGCACACACTGCACATAGGAAATGTATCCACTGCCAGTCAGGGAATTGTAAATAGACTGGGGGACAGTGACAGACAGGGAGGAGAGGTCGAGAAGGGAAAGGTGTTTTAGGAAGTAATACATTGGAGACTGGAGCTGCGGGTCCAGGGTTGTGCTGACAATAATGATGAAGTTACCTGCCAAGCCCAACAGGTACATCACCAAGAAGAACAAGGCATGCAGGATCTGCAGTTCCCGGTTGTCAGAGAACCCCAGGAGGAGGAAGCCACTTGGTGTGGTTATGTTTGTCATCATTATTTTGAGATTAGAAATTGTGGGAGTAGCCTGGAAAAGAGGAAATGCAGTAGAAAAATGTTTCAAGGATTTCTGCCTTTATTTAGCATTGCTTATTTCAACCCTAAATATATGAATGTCTGTTATTCAGAGGCTCAAACACATATTTCTTACACACAGAGACTTTACACTTATTTCTAGGAAATGAATAGTTACAGATGAATATCGAAGTGGCAACAGTATTGGGATTGTCATGCCCAACAGCAAGCAACAACAAACAATGAAGAAACAGAACACTTTTGTTTTGTTCTGCACAAGACATTTTCTCCTTCCACAGAAATTCCCATTTCTCTGGTTAAATTCAGCAGTTGAAATGTATTGATAACTTTCCATTAAAGGAAGCTGAACTTCTGGGATACATTCTGCCACGCACTCAATTTACTAACAGACAGATGACCTGTAGAGAGACTATGACTTTAGATCTTGAGGTGTCATTACCTGTGCTACATGATACTGACTCCTTCCTAGTGTCCTTTATTGTGAAGCCTCAGGAGAGAAAGTGTCATGTTATTTATCATCCGCACAGTTATATGTAACGAGTCTGTGTGGAAATCAGGAGCAAAGAAATGCCTTGCTGAGAACAACATACCTGTGACTCTCACACTGTGACTCATTTGTTTGTCTGCAGTATCGTCTGCTCTTCGGGACGTCTATGTTGATGATCTTCACTGCACCTGGCTGCTTTTCTTATCAATTATCTTCAGCTGTATCTCGGAGAAGTACCTGATCATGAACTACAAAAAAGACAGTGACAAATAAAGGAAAAAGTGGTTTCATATTAGGAAGGACACACTGAAACCTTCAGTGTATAATTTCAGACAGATGGGAGCTGTACTGTGATCCACCTTTCTGATAAGAGAGGAACCAGCCATATTCCCAGTTCATTATCTGATCTAGGTGGGACGGAGTCAACCAAGCATTCTGTCTTATGCAAATATTCCTTGGCATTGGAGGGCTGAGGGATGGCCACTGAGGTCTCTCATCTCCCTGCATGCATTCTTGTCTGTGAGATCTGGTGGTAATTTTAAAACATGATCTAACTTCTTTGGGGGTTTTTATTCTAAAGGCTTCCGAATCCTTTTGTAGGATTTCTTGTGTCAATGATTCATCCACTTAACAATGATGCCTGGGAGAATCCACAGTCATACCCTGTCCTCAAAATTCTTACTATGAGACAGACTAACAAGTGCTTTTTCTGGAGAAGGCACAACATGCCTTTACATATTCATTTTGGAAAGAATGAACTGAACATCTGAATCTTCCCTTTCTATTCTCTTTCCTGGGAGATTGCATTCGATTTGATTAAAATACAGTTGTCTATTAGTGCCAGGCAAGGTGGCAGAAGCCTGTTACCTCAGCTCTGTGCTGTTACATCAGGGTCAGGATCAGCTTGAGCTCATAGTGGGATGCTATGAGGAAGTGAAGGAGATGGTTATGCTGTTAACTAAATATTAGAATTTCATTTTAGCAGAAAAAAACATCAAAACAAC